TGTGTGTGTGTGTGTGTGTGTTAGTGTGTGTGTGTGTGTGTGTTAGTGTGTGTGTGTTAGTGTGTTAGTGTGTGTGTGTGTATATATATATATATATATAGATACATCATCCCACATCATCTCGCATCATATCCGCAAATCTTTACAAGTTCCCATATCTCATCCCCATACACACGTACACTCAGAACGGTTCCTGACAGTCATCTGTGTGACTGTGCCTGAGAGCATCATGCACCATTTTCAGTGGGTCAACAAAGTGGTCTCGTGGATATGCGTAATCTTCGTGCTGCAAGTGATCGGGGTACTGTGGGCGTTCAACATTAACGTCATCAGCAACCTAGCTCTGATGGCCGGAGGCTCTGTGGGTGAGTGTGGGTTTGTGTGTGGATGTCTGGTGCGTGGGTCTATTCGCTGCAGAAGGCGTATGTGAGTGTGTATCTATGGGTGCATATGTGTATGTACAGATTAGATGATATCATAGGTGGCAGAAGGCGTATGTGTGTGTGTATCTATGGGTGTATATGTGTATGTACAAATTAGATGATATCATAGGTGGCAGAAGGCGCCTGTGTCTGTGTATCTATGTGTGTATATGTGTATGTACGAATACGATGATATCATACGTTTGTGTTTTCTATGGTGTTCTAAATGCTTGCGGTGCTCGGCCCTTTCAACGTCAATGACATTACAACGTAGCTGTGATCGCAGGGGGGTGAAATGGGTAAGTTTCCATTTGAGTATGTGTGTGTGTATGTGCGTGTATCTATGTGTGTGTGGTTATGTCTGTATGTGTGTACGTGTGCATATACGTGAACACGTTTATACGGTTATACGTGTATGTATCTTCACTCATCTGGATGTGGGTCATCTTAGTGTTGCAAGGTAACTCGGTTTCATAAGCTTTCAACATCACTGTCATGTGTGTATGTATGTATGAGTGAGTGTGCATATAAGGGTATAGAGGTATGTGTGTATATATACCAATTCGTCCGTGTAGTTGCAGATGTGTGTGTGTGTGCGTGTGTACACGTATATACACGCACTATGATATCATGAAAATGGGGACTATCTGTACTGTCCGTGTCTTCAGTATCCAACGATTCGTTTGGCTGGAGTTCGCTCGGGCATCTACACGCTGGCGCTCACTTCAAGGTTTGGTAGATGTAACTGTACTGTTCTGTTTGCACGTATATGGGTGAATGTGTGTATATGTGAGTTTGTATTGGTGGTTGTGTGTTTATGTATTTGATTATTTGAATATGGGCGTATAGACATGTGCATACATGCATCTGGACATTATTTCAAGTGCACACATACTGATGTTGTTCAGAGATATTTTATATATTATATTATATATATATATATATGTATATATATATATTATATTATATAATATATATGTATATATATATATTATATTATATAATATATATTATATATATGTGTGTGTGTGTGTGTGTGTGTGTAGTATATCTATATATACCTATATATATCTATAACTATATATACATATATCTATATC